GGGGGGGGGGGGGGGGGGGTAATTAATCACACCCACACATTATAAAGCTCAGATCCTACAGTCGCAAACCAGTCTAAGGGGGCGCTGAAGGCACTTTAAAGCGTAGGATCCAGAGCATAAGGACCTGTCAATCAAGGACCTCGAATCCGCAGACAACACCTGCATAATCCCTAAACTAAAGTCTCTAAACCCCAAACCCCAGAAACCCTCAACCCTATAGGGTTTATAAACCCCAAAAACCTTAAGCCCCCAAAACCCTCAACCTTGGATCAGGCGTCTCCCACTCGCAAGGCCACCTTCGCCATCGGGCAGGCGCGGAAGTGCACACAGCTTCAAATAGATGAGGTTCGGCGGCTTCTGCCACACGGTTTAGGATTTATATAGGGGTTTAGGGTTTAGGGCAATAATTACTTATATTATGTTGGGGGGCTCCTTATTGCAATGATACTATAGTGGGCCCCTATTAAGGCCCTACATTACGAGCAGTCATGTAGTATTGGAGTTTAGAGCTGTTTAGGGATCAGGGTTCGCATGCTGAAGAAGCCGGTGTTAAGGGATCTGCTGTCTAGCGACTTACATGCTTACCGGCTTTCATTGGGTTTAGCGTTTTGGATGTTGGCTTTAGGGTTGTGTTTGAGGACTTCAGTTTGCGTTCGGCCATGCTCTCTGAGGACTTACTCCACATTGTGTTTTTGGAAGGCCGCCTGGCTTCTTGGGGGTCCAAATGCTGAACCCGAACCCGAAGCCCACAACACAAATAGCCTTAACCCGAAACTCCCAAACTCAAACCCCAAGCCCTAGTCGTAATCCAAACTCTAAACTCTAAACCTCAAGCCCTGAAGACCCAAACCCCAAACCCAAGCCCTTAAGAGTCATCCAGGACCCGTCCTTGTACCCGCAATCAGGGGCACATGGTCCCAAAAATGGGCATTCAGGGTTTTATAGAGGGTACCTATAGCCTCCATTGTAGTTCCTTGTTGGGGTTTTAACCAATTTGCATATAGGGTCGTTTAAGGTAGTCCCAAGAAGTAACTACAATGGAGGGTCTATCGGTAGATGGATGGTCGAGTCTAGGATTGGGCATAAACCCTAAACCCGAAACCCTAAAACCCAACCCTAAATTGTAAACTCCAAACCCTAAACCCAAAAACCCACACCCTAAACACCGAACCCTAAACCCCTAAACCCTAAGCCCTAGGCGGGCCTTTGACTGCTAGGGCGGGAGAAAGGGGCCACTACACTTTAGAAAAAAACCCAAAACCAAAAACCCCAAACCCTAAACCTAAACCCCAAACCCCAAACCCTAAACCCTATAAGCCCCAAACCCCAAACCCTAAACCCCTAAACCCCAAACCCTTAACCTAAACCCCAAAACCCCCAACCCTTACTAAGAGCCTTCGGGCCTTGCAAGGAGCCGGAGGATGCGCCGCACGACGACGATGGGGAAGCCGAGCCAGGACCTCGGAGAAGAAAGGTCCAAGTACCCCCATGGTATAGTTGTTTTAGGGTTTGGGGTTTAGGGTTTAGGGTGTAGGGTTTAGGGTGTAGGGTGTAGGGTTTAGGGTTGAGGGTGTAGGGTTTAGGGTTTAGGGTGTAGGGTTTAGGGTGTAGGGTAATATATACTTAGGCTTTATACAAAGTTGTCCCTACATAGGTACTTCGGGGTCCAAGTATATACTATTTGGGCACGTGGACTTTTCGGGGGATCAGAAGGGGCTGGGCTAGGCTGGTCAGCTTTCCAGGCACACGTCCCCGATTCGGCACTTGAGAGAAGCGAGACCAAAAAGAGGGCGTTTTGTTGTCGGATCTTATGGGTGTATCGGGTTTCATAGGTCTGTTTAGTTGCAGGTTTTACAAGGTCTTACGAAGCAAACCATACGGGATACAAGGCCAAGCGTGTGACCGTAATGTAGATTTCAAGGGCACGTTCTTTGTTCGGAAAGACGTGCCCTACAATTGAAAACTTGTCTCCAAGGTGTCCTCGCACATTCACAAGGCCTGCCGCCCGAGAACACGCCAATCAACAATCAGTCGGTGCACAGAGTCCTCAGACGCTACCGGTTTTGGTCGAGGGGTGCAGCATCAGGCATCGCCCCAGACGCCAATTGGACACTGTTCGAGGATTTGCAGCCACGAGGGCATCAGCTCAAAGGCCCTTAGTCAGTCTCGCTGCCGGTGCTGTCCGAGTGTGCGTGTTTGTTCGACCACCCTTCCCCCAATGCCCCGTCTCTGAGCCCGTGTCCCAAGCTGAGTACTTCGGTGAAGGATCATCGCGAGAAAGCTTTGTTCCGGCGAAGTGGGCTGCTTTGCCAAGCCCGGCTGAGGGTGAGCGTTGAAGTGTGCACCGGAGCCCCGAGCAAAGAAGGCGAGAGGGACCGTTTCCGTGGGCCGGAGAGCACCCCAGGTCGGCACTCACTCACTCACTTACTCACTCACTCACTCACTCACTCACTAAACCTTAAACTACAAGGTTTGCAGTTTCAGGCGTCTCACTGCTACCAGTGTTGAACAGTGGTAACTTTCCGAAATCTTCAGACTCAATCCCTCAGCCGCGGGACCCCAAATAACCTACCTTTGTAGGGCTCCTCAGTACTTAAAGGTTCATGGGACTTAGTAATTAGGGTTATAAATAAGGTAACTATACTTATAACCCCAATTAGGGTACTTATAACTGTACTTATTAAGCCCCATGAACCTCCTAGTATGATTTCTTTACAGAAGTATTAAGTCCTTCAAAAGGTCGGTTATTTGGGGTTAACCCTAAGGGTCCATGTACCCAAATAGTATATACATTGGCCCTAAAATACCTATATAGGGACTACATTAAGGCCAAAGTATATACTATTTGGGCACATGGACCCTTAGGGTAAGGTAAACCTTCAACAGGCGCAAACTCCTCAACCCGCTCAACCCTACCCCCTTCGCATCCGAAGCTTCCGAGAGTCGTGAAGATTAGGGTTTAGGGTTTTAGGGTTTAGGGTTTAGGGTTCAGGGTTTAGGGTTTAGGGTTTAGGGTTTAGGGTTTAGGGCTTAGAGTTTAGGATTCGATCAAGGTCCAGATCTCCTCAGCATGCAGGCGCAGTTTGCTTCTTCCTTCTCGTGGCTTCTCTGACCAGCCCATGCAGCAGTAGGATGTTTTCAAAATTGTGCCTCAGAGCGGTTCCTGCGTAGCATAGGTAATTTAGGGTCAAGGAATATGTGTACCATCTGGGTACACTGTCCTTTTAGGCTCGTCCTTCTGCCATGATTTCTGTGAGGGTCGAGGTCAGTGATGCTACCGGCGACGGATTCTTCAGGGTTGAGGGCCCGAGCCCACTGACATTGGATCCTAATGTCTGCAAGGCATAAGCACATATGGTCCATATGGCCTGGCTACATCTACAGTAGGTATCCCCAAAGCTGTAGCCCCTGTGCAAAGTCCTCTGAAAGATCTAGGCTTCTCGACATTAAACTCCTGTCGTCACACAAAGAAGCGACAAGCAGGCCTGCGTGAAAGCGCATCCGAAATTCAGGGGTTGCCTGGGGGCTTCGGTGAATGTCGATACTGGAAGTATAAGTAGGTCTCATGTCTTATGTAGTAGGGTTTAGGGTTTTAGGGTTTAGGGGTTCTGGAGTGCACACAACAGACCGAAAGCTTACTCGGAGACGCGAAGCAAGATCAACAACACGTGATGCAGACCCGTGTGACCGACCATACCTACGGCAGCCCAACCTGTCTTGCCTAGCGACCCGAGTGCGCCTCATGGACGCCTTAGCCCTCTACATCCCTACAGCACCCTCACGAAATTTTATGACTAAAAGGATGAAGAGCCGCTAAATCCTGTAAACCCCAAAGTTACCTTATAATAGGATCCTAAACATAAAATGGTCAAGCCAAAAAATGGAACTACAATGGTAATGGAGATTGCAGGGAAACCCCAACACCGCTAAACCCTAACACCTATAAACCCAAAACCCTAAACCCTAAACCCTGAACCCCCTCACTCCCTTGGAAGGACCGGCTCCCACTGGGCCGGAGTCCGCCTGCGCGCCCTTCGGCTGCCATCGCTTCCCAGACTCCTTGGGTTTACGTAGGGCTTGGGGTTTAGCCGGGTTTAGCCGGGTTTATGGGTCAGGGTTTAGGGTTTAGCCGGGTTTATGGGTTAGGGTTTAGGGTTTAGCCGGGTTTCGGGGATAGGGTTGCAGGAAAGCTGCAGATCCCTTTCAGGATTTCAAGGAGTTTTCATGAGGTTGTCGTTGGGGTTGGGTAACCTGTCAATGCGAGTTTTGTGGAGGGTCCGAACATGAGAGCCAGCAAAGGTATCCTACCCTTTTACACGTTAAGGTAAGCCTTTTTTTCATGGGTTCGATTCTCAGATCCTGTTGGCCATGATAGTGGGTGCATGCCGCATACCACTTACTTTACATATGACTGGGGCAGAATAAAGGTTCTTATGTACAAAACCCGAGCAGAAGCTCAACCCTGCGAGCTCGACCACGGAGGCCTTCCAGTGAGCCGCGGTGCCGCTGCAGGCAATTGTAGATCTGGTTCTATAAGCCCAGAATGTGCGTTTTTCAGGTTTAATCATATACCTACTTATATATGTATACTTAAATTACTGAATTTATGACGCCGCCGTTCCTCCAAACGGGCTCGTTCAGAGTTGGGTCTAGGGCCGGAGGCTTTGGAATCACTAGAATCCAGACAGGAGCAGCTTCGGGCTCATGTGATTTGGTCGGATCTAATGCGATTACAGAGGCCTTGAACAACTACGGTTGACGGACAAAATCCTGCATGACCTTATATACCTAAACTATGGGATATATGGCACTATACTTTTTTGGGTCATGCAGAATTTTGTTCATCAACNNCCCCCCAAAAAAAAAAAAAAAGCGTTCTTCTAACTGCTTAGGCCCTCACTTAACCTCAAGGAGTTTAGGCTGGGGAGTCTGCATCCATGACCCGCGAAGACAGCTCCAACAGTGCCACCCAATGTTGCCAGAGGACAGGAAAGTCCTGGACCCTAATACTCCGTGACAAACCACCATGGTAAAAGAATCGAAGATCTTACCACACCGAAAGCACCTCAAGGCCCTTTTGAACACTAGTAGGCCCGGGGTATCTTGCAATGCTATCGAAGAGTAGGGCCCAAACGAAACTTACGAGACAGGAATGGCTACGCCTTCTTCATCTTTGGGCCAACGAATCCGGTCAGGACGCGCATGAGGATAAAGCATAGAGTTAGTTTTTTTATGAACCTTAAACCCTAAACCCCAAAACCCCAATCCTTATAAGTCCCAAGAGGCCTAACCCGAGAACCCTAAAGGCCCCACACCCAACCTACGCTGTAAATCCTGAAGGCCCTAAGTCCCATAACCCTGCCGCGACGGTTTAGGGTTTAGGGTTTAGGGTTTAGGGTTTAGGGTTTAGGGTTCAGTTATGTGACGTAGACGTAGAGGCTCCAAGTACCCAAATAGTCGGGTTTTGTTGGTCCCCCCCAAATCCATACTCTG